TAGTCTTTTCCAGCCCTCGCTGTCTACAATGGTTCCTAGGCCCCCTGAGGGGCTGTGGAGGGCAGGGGGGAGCTGCTTTGCTAGAGGGAGGCCAGCCGGGACGAGAGCATGGCCCATTGCGGCGCTGTGCATGGAAGGGGGTTGAGGACAGGCTACTCCATGCCGCATGCACACGCAGGCTTGGGAGGAGCTTGGGGGAGAGCTGGAGTGCAGCGACGGCCAGGGCTGGACCGGGCCGAGAGGCCATGTCCCTCGCCCCGGACCCGGGGCGTGCCCAACGGTACCTGCAGCCCGGGCACGGCCACCTTCTCCACCAGCATGGTGACCAGAACGAAGCCTCTCAGGCTTTCTCCTCCCGGCAGCCACACAATGGGGTCCAGGTTCCTGCGTGGGGAGAAGGAGAGGCCGTGAAGCCGGGCTGCCGTCCGGGGAACAGCGGTCCCGCTCTGCTCTGCATCTGGAGGTGCGTGTGGGGCGGCAGGGCCCCTTGCCCCAATCCCTGTGCTGCTAGGAGCACGTGCGAGGCTGGGTGGGGTCCCTGCGCTCTTGTGTCGGGGACCGGGCCCCCAAAACCAGGCCAGGGGAGGTGGGGCCCCTCCCCGAAAGGCCAGAGCCGCCTGCCGCGAGGAACGCGGGAGGCATCTTGGCCGCTTACCTGAGCTCCAGAGGCCTGGCGGAGGTCCGGCATCACGGGGCAGGAAACAGAAAGACAGGGCAGTTAGGCGAAGGGCGTGCAAATGGAGAGATCCCTCGGGGGCCCCGTGCCGCCTTACCCAGCCCGATCCCTTCGCCTCCAGTTGGCGAGCACGAGGTCGGCATGCAGGAGGATCGGCGGGAGGCCGAGGCGCCTCGAGACCTCCCAGAAGGGCACGGCGAGGTTTTGCGGCAGCACCTGTGAGAGAGGTGGTTTGGAGAGAGGGAGGTGGCCGGAGGGCCGTGCACTCTGGCGCCGAGGGCTGCTCTGGGCCTGGGCCTGTGGCTAGCCACGCTCACCTTGGCCGGGCCCTCCTCGCCGTCCTGCCACACGTAGCCCGCTGTGATGAAGCCGAGCACCAGGTGGGCCAGGCGCAGGTCACGGTGCCCGTGGAGCTGTGCGGCGCTGAGCTGCGGCGCCTGCCAAAGAGAAGCTGCTCCGAGCATCCCCCGGTCGTGGGGCTCGTGAGGGAGCGGTCCTGCAGGGCCCCAGCAGCCCAGCCAGAGGCCTGGCCAGTGCAGGCCGTGGTGTTGGGGGGAGTTGCCGGGTAGGCCTGGGTATTGGCGCCTGCCAGCTGAACACGCGGGAGCGCCCGGGCTGCTCTTGCCATTGGGGCTGGGCACGGGGCAGGGGTGAAGGTAGTTGGCCCTCACCAGGGGTGACATGCCTCCTAGTGGGAGAGCGACCTGGCCTCGCACCGTGTGGGCTTGCCGGACCAGGCGGCTGGGGGAGAGGTGGCGGCCCTGGGCGGCCTGAGGGAGAGGTCTGCCAGGGGGGAAGCGGGAAGGGCACGGTTGCTTGGCTCCGTGGCCACGCGTGCCAGGAGCCGGCAGGACATTGCGGCCTCTGCCGTGGGTGGCCGTGGTGGGAGAGAGGCGGCACCTGATGCACGTGGGCACGGAGCTGCCGGGTGGCGATGAGGTCAGGCAGGCTGCGGGCAAGGTCCATCCAGGGTCGGTAGGGAGCGGGCAGCTCTGTCTGCAGAGAGAAGCAGCAGGAGGGGAGAGGGGGTGGCCAGCTGGAGCTGGCAGAGGGGAGGCAGCAGGGTGCGAGGGCCAGCCGGGTGGAGAGAAGCAGACCGAGTCTGTGACCCGGCCCCCAGTGGAGCTGGGTTGTGGCCGGGCCTGGCCCCCAGCATACTCCCGGGAGCCGGCCAGAGGCTGGGGGCCCGTGGCCAAAGCGGCCGCGCGCCTGGCTGGCAGCAAGAGGCCGGGGAGATGCGTGGTTTGCCCAGCCGGGCCGAGGGGAGCTGAGGCCTTTGCCAGGGCTGGGCTTGAGGCACGCGCTGTGTGTGTAAAGCGTTGGCAGGTCGGGGGGGTGGTCTCCGTGGCCCCTGGCTCGGCGTGAATCTGGGGCCGTAGTCCCGGAGCTTGCTGGCTACGGTGACCACAGGCTGCCGCCCCTGTGCCTTGGCAGCAGCGGGGCCCCCCGGGGCTGCCTGTGCCCGGGAGAGAGGGTGGGGGGCCTACCTGTGGATCAGGGAGCAGAAAGCCGTATTCCCGGGAGATGTGGAACTTGTCCAGGGTGCAAGGCGGCGGGGGCTGCTCTGTCTCTGCAGCAGGGTCCATGGGCGGGGGCCGAAGGGCCGTCGGGGGCAGCCACCTGGGTGCGAGGAGGGTTCCCAGTGGCGGCCCTGTGGGGTCTGTGCCGAGTCAGGAGAGCTCCTTTCGAGGCAGCCGGCGGCTGGGGACCTTTGTCCCCAGGTTTGGCCTGCTGCCCTGTAGGCACAGGGGGTGTGACAGCTGAAAGGACGTCTGTGTGATCGAGGTGCTTGCCAAAGGCTCTCTGAAGAGGAGACCAAGTGTTTTTTCTGTTGTTTGTGTAGATACAAAGCTGTATGTTGTTGCTAAGAGCCTAATTACAATTTAAGATGTAGTTGGGCCTCCTATAAAGTCAGGCCTGGGACATGTAGCAAAGGCTGGAAGTAGTCAGGCCCTGTGGCGTGGGTCCAATTACCCTTATCAAAGGAACGCAAGGCCCGTACCGTTATGCAAGTAAAAAGAATCGGCGCGGCTGTCACTTACTGGCATGGCTCAGAAGTTAGAAACGGGCCGAAAGGTCCAGACGTTGTTCGGAAGGAAGAGGTGGCTCCGCGAAAACGATCGGTTAGCTGTTACCCGGAGCGGCGGGCCCGTGGATCTCGAGGAGCCCCAGGACCGAATGCCCGGGTCCCTCCCGGCGTCTCTTGGACAGCGCCATTGCGGAAAGAGAAACTCGTCGTACGTCGGAGGGGACTGCCGATAAGTTGCCGACGCGAATTGTTCTCGTCCACCAGGGATTGTGTCGTTACTACGCGTAGTTGTATTTTTGTGAAGTCAATGCACCTTTCGCCGTACTGTCGATCCTGAACCCTCCGCAGGCGGCCGGGACGGGGAGGGCGCCAGCCAGGTCCGCCCTGGGTCCTGGAGGGGGGTTGCTGAGGGAGAGTGAGTCCCTGAGGCCCGGGTGCCCCGCGTGGGCCGGGCTGCCCGGGTGCTGCAGAGGGCAAATGCGGGGGGGCCCCCCGTGCTGCGCTGCGTGTCGTGGGAGCGCCCCAATGTGTTGGGGTGGGAGCGGGGGCAGGCTCTGCAGCATGTCGGGGGGAGCTGCCGTGGTGTCTTGGGTTTTCCTTGGTTGCGGGGCATCCCAGGGCATGTGAGGGC